TGGCTTTTTTGGCAGCTGCTGCCCACAGCTGGCTCCTATTTAAATGATTGTCCACTAGGACTCCAAGATCTCTCTCCCAGTTACTACTATCAAGCAAGGTAACTACCTATAGTGTACTTGTGCCTTTCGTTTTTCTTGCCTAAATGTGGAACCTGACTTTTTTCACCATTGATAAAGTATACAGTATTGGGGTCATCTAAAGATTAGTTTCACTTCAGCACAGTTAACAGCTGGGGTCATCTAAAGGTTAGTTTCACTTTAGTACAGTTAACAGTTGGGGTCATCTAAAGGTTAGTTTCACTTCAGCACAGTTAACAGTTGGGGGTCATCTAAAGGTTAGTTTCACTTTAGCACAGTTAACAGTTGGGGGTCATCTAAAGGTTAGTTTCACTTTAGCACAGTTAACAGTTGGGGTCATCTAAAGGTTAGTTTCACTTCAGCACAGTTAGCACAACTATATACATTCAACACATAACAGGCTGAAAGCAGGAAACAGTGCTGCACCTCAAATGTATTTTTCACTTTTTTTGTTTTTATTCCGTCATACAGTTTTGAAGTCCACTTTGAAAGAGTCAAGCGGAAAGTGCTTTTAATAGTAAAGACATCGACAGCAGCCCTCCCCCCTCCCTCCCCCGTCCCCAACCCAATGACATACACATACACACACACATATGCACTAATCCAAGGCACTAATCTCCACCAAGCTCAATTAAGATGGGAGCGAGTTTGGAATTTCTCAGCCAAGCTAATTTGGATTCGATCACGAGCTTGGGAAAGGATGGAACGACACCGCGTCGGAAGCGAGTTCAAATTCGTTTCTCGCTTCTCCCGTCTCCTGCCAGACTCTTAAAAACTTCCTTGGGATACGGAGTTTGTTTGGTTTTTTCCCCCTCTGTGTGTGCTTTGAATAGGGTGACCTGCGCGTGATTCCTAGCCACCAATCGGAGGGGGGGCACCTCCGTTTTGTGAAAAAGGGATACGAAGCTTGGGGAGATGCGACGACACTAGCAGGGGGGAAAAGGCAGTTTGTCTTTCCACAGTGATTGGGTGGGATTGTGCTTCGACAGGTGTACAATCTCTCTGGCTCTCCCTTTTTCGACGCAACACATACGACTTTGCTCCAGATTCGAAAGAAGCAAGAACGGAGAAATAGTCTATGCCCGGCCCTTGTTTTCTTCTTTGGATGCTTAATTGGTAGGAAAAATAAGAGTCAGTCTTTCTTCGATTACACCCCGGTACGTACGGGAGAGAAATGCTCTTGTGGTACGATCCCAATCTTAGCTAGACTTTGACCTCGGAGTTTTTCAAACTTTTTTTTTTTCAAGCTGTGGAATCTATTCAGTTGAAAATAAAATAAAATAAAAATAAAGTAAAATAACAAAATAAAATAATAAAACTAAAATAAATAAACTAATATAATATAATAAAATAAAATAAAATAATAGAATAGAAAATGGAATGGAACGGAATAGAGTAACTGAGAAGGGACTCTGGAGGTCATCTAGTCCAACCCCCCTGCGTAGGCAGGAAACCCTGCACCACTTCAGACAAATGGTTATCAAAAATAAAACAAATAAAGTAAAGTAAAATTAAAAAAATAAAAGGAAAATTCATGCAACGCCCATGTCACCTGACACGCTCCATTCTTTCCTTTCTCTAACCAGTGTTAATCAATCTTCAGCAACTTTCAGCTGTGAGGACTTCAACTCCCAGAATTCCCTGGCAGGCGGATTGTCCCAAAGGTACTTCCTATTCCCCCCCCCGGCAGGGGAATTCTGGGAGTTGAAGTTCACAGAGCTCAAGGATGCTGAAGCTGAAAAACACTGCACTTTGGTTTAGTGTCTAAGGGGGGGGGTCATAGTGGGGGAACTCTCTTAGCATTCTCCTCCAAAAAGAAAAGGCTTAGTTGCTGGCAGAGAGTTTCTTTTTCTCCAAATAATTTGTAGACAGATCTTTTTTTCCCCTCCTCCTTTGATCCCATTCCAGGTACCCATTCCAGCTTTCGCAGAACCCCGTTTGAAAAAACCCTGCTCTAACCCATTAGCCGCGCAGGGGATCATGACAGCGACTAATTGAGATGGCTGAATGAAAAAGACAAGTATGAAAGACAGCTCTGGATCCTGACGATTAGCTAAAGCAGTGTTTCTCAACCTTGGCAACTTGAAGATGTCTGGACTTCAACTCCCAGAATTCCCCAGCCAGCTGGCTGGGGAAT